ACACTGCAATGTAATGCTAGACTGTACCAACCTACAACCAGAAATACCTAATGACGCTGGGTTTTGTAGGATGGGAAAGCAGAATTTGAGCTGATGCTGCTTCTTTTATTTCTATCAGCTTAAGCAGGGAGTGTGAACATCACTGACAACATATCATGGTTGTTATTGTAAAAAATTACATGTTGTTTTTACTAAGGAAATATCAGGGCTACAAAATAGCACATACTAGGCATAGCACATACTAGGAAACTATCCCAATAGATAATGTTTTCATGTTTTCGCTTTTATCCTAGCAATTTACCATCTCATCTTTTCATGTACCTGAATCATATTGTTCACCAATACTTTAAAACACTGCAAACTGTTTAAGCTCTGGAAGGGGACTGTACTTCTGCTACATACCTGCTCTCCATTTGCAGGTGTTCATTGAAGGACAGATCACCAATGAAGTGAAAATTGATGTTAATTGTACTTCCCAGTTTCTCCCAGTATAGCAACTACTTTGCTACAGAGACCACAGCACAGGTCAAGTGGTGTGGCTGTTTTATACTTTAAGCTGATTCTCTGAATTCTTCCCCACAAACCTCTGCCTTTTTCCCATATTTTCCCACAGAGGTTTCGCAGTTTCCCTGGGGACAACTCTTTTCAAGAACAGACTTTGCAATCTGTGAAAGTCTCAGTTGTTGCCCATTATACTCCAGAATCCTAGAGAGATCGGAGGAAGTTCTCAATAGGAAAATCCCTGGTGTTCTTTCCCTTATGCAACTACGGCAGGAAAAGGGCCTGCCATAAATGATCATTAATGGAATATAGTACATTGTTCTTGTCCCCCACTTACACACAGAGTAGAACTGCTCTTTCTAATAAATCGCAATACCCGATGGGGCAAGATTGTACAGTTAATTACAGTATATGTAAAGCAAGCTTGATAAATTTCCAGTGAGGGGACAAGAAACAGCTATTTTGAAATACAACTTTATTTTTTTAATCAATATGCAATCTTCAAAATGTTATTACAAGATCATCAGCACGGTCTGTTTATACTTATAATGACAAAAGACCCAAATAAAATTAGATTTTCCATTACAAATAACAGCACTGTTTGAGAGTTATCAATATTATAGCTAAGAACTACTAACTGAAGTAGTTAATTACTGTGTTTAGTCAACAAAAAGACAAATAAATGTAAAATAGAGGTGTGGGCACCAATCCTGCGGCTAAGAAGTTCATCAAGCAAAATAACTAAAAGCAACACATGGAAACATGTTTTCAGATGTAAAGTACTTTTGGAAAATTAATATAGAATCTGGAAAAAAAAGTGAGCACAAAGGATGTCAGTGGCTTGGGGGTGAGGTTCAATGAAGTGCACCATCACCCTCATTTCTCTAGGGCTGCTACATAAGGGCAGCCAGACCCATTGTTCCCAATCACTGCAAAGCTTCAGTTTTGACACAAAAACTTTTCCTCTATTTTGTGCTCTTCTGTGGTTGGAATAAGCAAGCACTGCAGGCTGCTTACTTACTAGCATCAAGAATCTTCCACAGTGGTTTTTTTCCTGCCCATTACCACAATTCCTTCTATTTTTTTGCTTCTCCTTTATTCTTAGAGACTTTGATGCAGATTCTATTTTGTCAGTTAAAAGACTTCCATTGACTTCAATGGGTGTTTGAATATAAATTACATCAAGTACCATTTACCTATATATAATATAATTAGTATGAGAAAGATTAACTCACTTTGCCAGTTTCAGCAAATATGACACTTTGTAAATAAGGCAAACACACTAAGAAATTAGCTGTTCTCATTGATTTCTGTTTAAAATATAAAATATCCCAAACCCTGCTGGTCCTTTGTGAAGGAAACATGGATAATATCTAAATACTGCCCTGTAATAAATGTTAGCAAAGCGTCAACAGCTTAAGTGACCCAAGCAGCTGGAAGCATTTCAGGGACTGCAGGCACTAGCTGCAGGCAAACAGAGATCAGATACGTGTGAAACCTGGTTTCTCACACAATGCCAGTGCAACTCATGGGTTATCTAAAGCCCTGCTCCTTCTGCTAGCTGGACACTGAGCATCACAACAGCTTACAGCAACCCTTTGTCATCTCCATTCCCCTCCCCTACTACTGTTAGACTGCTTACAGCCCTGATTTCTAAAGAATCAAAGCCAGTATGCTTACTCATTATCACCTGCTGTAGCCTTCATAGAAAATTAAGAGTATTTGTTCAGTAGGTTGTACCCAAAGGACAACAGAGAATGCAGAAGAAATACTAGAAAGGGAAAGGCAAGATGTTTCTGCTTTAGCACATTGCAGTAGAACAGGAAGTTAAAATTTGATGGGGGAAAAACGTCAGACAATCTTTCATTAAACTGCAGCCTATTTTTAAATGTTCTGAGAGCAATGCATACAAACATGATTTTGAGACTGAACAGGGTAATTATTCAGCCTCAGGCTGCACTAATTGTCAGGTTTAAACTGAAAGACATGCATTAAACAGAGTAACTTTCTGTCAGTGTGGCAATATTTCTGTGGAATGAATTCCCTGTGATCCTAATCCAATTCCGATTAAAGTTAATGGGAAGTCTTGCAGGCCTCAGATGGAAATCCAAGAGTCTGCAACACAGATAAAGCTGTAGCTTGACCTTTTTACGTTAATGAGTTCAGTAAGGCTGAATGATCATTTGCACCGTACCAGATATAATACAGATTCACTAGCAGGAAAGAAGACTTGTAATGTGGCAGTTCATCACTTAGGCCATTCAAAACAGTATCTCATCTCTTGAAGGGTCAGGATAAAACACTTCAGCACTACATGGGCTTCTTGAACACATCCCAAGACACAGCAGATGCCTGACAGAAGAAAAGCAGCCCTTGCTTCTGCAGGACCCCTAACACCAGCAGGTACTGAATGCCCAGGACAAAGAGTCCCAGAACAGCCTGGCTGTCCCTCCTTCTTAAAAGCAGAAAACCAGGGTCAGGCAAGACAGGCTTTGGACAACAACAGCTGCTAACAGATTTACAGAATTGATGTCAATCTAAACAAGTCACCTCAGACAAAGGTTAGTGCAGGAATCCGCAACACATCTTTCAGAACCTTTATCGAGCAAAGAGATTCACAGATACATAGCTCTCTGACCATGGACTTCAGCAAACTACAGAGCTTTGCCAAGATGCCAGGTATAAACGTTTTGCCATAGAGTACACTGCACCCCGTGGTTCAGCTGAGAAGTACATAAACCAAATTTGAATATGAATAAAATAAAACAAACATGACTTGAAGGTGCTCATGGCTTCACAAGTCAAAACATGGATGGAAGATGCAACAGCTAAGACATATCTGGATCACTACTGTGCTCAAACACTTGCTTAGATTGATGATAATATAATCCACTAATAAAAAGGGATATACAGAGAAGCCAAAACACTATAATAAACTATCTGGGGCTTTGGCAATGCAGTACCCATAAAAAACCTGCCCTAAGGACTTAGTATATAATCTATTACCCATTTCATTCTCAGCTTCCAAATGGGGGGAAAAGTTTATTGTGATGAACTAGGTTCATTTTATGGCCTTCTGTTTCCTCAGACTGGTGATTTTCTCAGTGCATATCCCACATATTTCTACTTTGGGGGAATAACATTTATCTGTATTTTTACACAGTGTTCATATAAACAATTACAAGCTGTGACAAAATATAAAGTGAGACTTAGCGCATTGCTGTATTTTTGTTGTCCACTAATTTCAGTTTGAATTAATGATAATCTTAGGAAAACTGCAGGAAAAAAAACCCCAACATTTAAAAAGTATCAGAAGCATTTTTTTTTCATTTATCAGATTTTTTCAGACCTGAAATTGCAGCCTGCAGAAAAGGACAAAGGGGATAATGACTGAGGTGAATCAGTAGAACCTTTCCCTAAATGCCAGTAATTTTTTCAAAACACAGTTAACACACTTATACAGGGTTAGTAGCTCACGTTGTCTGCTGAAGTGTCACAGCTTCACTTCTCTTCCTGCATTGTTTCCCCACAGAAAACATTTTTAGAGCCAGTAGCATGAAAATATCTTCTTTGCCATGCATGGAAAGACCATCTTAAAAGTTATTCAAAGCAACAGCTCCTGCAGTTTCCAAACCAACATCTGGAACTTGCATCTTAAAGGAGACTCAGAGCAAACGGTAGCAACCAGCCATTTCTTCAGTTTGTGGAGAAAACCCTTGGCTGGTGTAAATTCTCAAACTTTCATTAAATGAAATGGGCCTGGACTGATTTATGCTTGCTGAGGATGAGCCCCTTGTCTCACTTGCTGCAGCAGTGAAAAACATTTGTCTAATTCTGGCACAGAAATTTCAATCACATCTGCCATATGTTTTTTTGCCCAAGAGATTACTTTGAGCGAACCTATAAAGTGCTGGGGAGGAAATGCTTGCAGCCACAGAAAAATGGAAAAAAAAAAATAATTCCCATTTTACCAATTAAATCAACCAGTTTCCAACTCACTAATTGAGATTCTTACTGAGTTTAATATTACAACCTGATCTGTTTGCATATATCGAGGACCTGATCTGTTTGCATATATCGAAGGGTGCAGAAACATGGGGGACTTAGATTTTCAAATATCATTGAAAAACATGATAAAACGTGTAAAGGTCTCCTGTGGGACCTTACACAGATGCTGGTCTGCCCATAAGTGCTCTGGCAGCTTTTATTGCTGAATGTGTCCAAGTGACACGAACTCTTTGAGTAGTGCCATTAGGTTTCAATATGGAGTATGAGATCATTCCCAAGTCACAGATACGCAACAGGAAAATAATGTATTACAATCAGTCAATTAAGTGCTCACATCCTGCAACTCTTTACAAGGAAACCCTATTCTTACCAGTATTCCCGTGACAGGAAGTTTACTTGAACACAGGCCAGTCAAACCAGTACTGATCTGCAGAATCAAAAATAAAAGCACTAAAAAAAAAAAAAAAAAAGACCATGTTTATCCTAAACTAGGTCACTGCTCTCCTCCTAAAAATAGAATTTGCTATGGAAATTGATTCCCACTAATATCCCATGACGATGCCTCCTGTCCTCTTTTACTGCATTAGGCAGTTGCCAGCCTTATCTGGATCCTCTCCATCAAGCCTAATCCACTTCTTTTCAATTTCAACCTGTAGTTATAAAACAAACAAACAAACAAAAACAACAAACAAACAAACAAACAAAAAAACACAACAGGCAGAATTAGCGGGCAATTGGGCACTGAAAGTGTGAACTGCAGCAGCAGCACAGATAAAAGCTTTGACACAGAATCAAAACATTTCCAGAGCAAACAGATTTCAAAACCACTACTACCAAAAATAGCTCAACTGAGGAAAAACACTGCATTTGCAGTTCTGTTTTTCAGGACCACCTTTGATCAGACAAGGAATTATTTCTTAATTATTCTTTTGCTCAAAGCCATTACCACAAGTGCATGCAAGATGTGTTTAGAGTAGAAAGCACATTTGCCTTGCAAATACAGTAAGGGGGAATGGGGACGAAGAAGAGGATGAAAACACTGAAAGCATAGCCCTGAAAATACCTGGTAATTGTAAAAAGCTTTCTGAATGATGTGCTTCTGGGGCTGCAGATCACTCTCTATGCCCAGTGACTTGACTTTTGTTCCAGAGGCACAGGTGTCATGAACAACAAACTGGACAGTAGCAAATGGATACCAGTCAGATGGGATTTCCTGGTCTGATCCGAGTTCCAGTTTGTAAGACAGGCTGTGTGGATGATCAGAACCTTGGAAAAGAAAAACAAACACACACTATCAATTATCTTTTCTTTGTTTACAGTACAAGGTTAATCTGCTAGCAGGAGAGCACAGCACTGTCTTTTATTAATGCAGTCTAGTTATTATGATACAAGATTATTTTATACATAATCTTATAGTCTTGATCATAAGGCGACCCCTTACTAATTTTTTCTCTACTTCAGCACACTTTTCACAATTATTTATTTTACAAATTAATTTGCACAACATTTACCAGATCCTCTCAGCTGCTGATTAAGATGAGTATTACAAGCTTAGGGATCAGTTGCTAAATTCAAACTATTAGCGAAGAATCTCAGTTTTCACTTAAAAATACATTTCTTACTCTTGTGGGAATATTAAAATTGGAAAAACCCAGGTTAGGCAAGGCAGAGATGCCTCCTTGTGCCAAACAACCACCGTTTCCAGAGCTCTCTGCTGTAGGAATTATACTGGAGTGTTTATTTCAAGCAGCTATCTTGTGTAACATCATTTATTACAGTGTATCTATGGCAGGAAGATAACAATGCAGTTCAGAGTGCTGCTCAAAAAAGATATATCACAGCTGCCAGGATAAAGGCTACCTGGACTCCATTTCTAGATTGGTTTGTTATGGGTAAAGAACATACCCCATTTCTTCCAAACAAAAGCATTCCTAAAGTAACTGTCGTGCTATAAAGCAGAGTCATGAAAGACTCCCATGTAGTGCAGCACATTCTAAATTACTTCGATCTAGCCTTACAGACTAGGGATCGCTTGCTTTAGCATTTCTTCTGTCTGGCAATGGTAAGGGAAAGCATTTATCCTTGCACACAGGAACACCAGGGTGAAAAGCCTGCTTTACAAAGAAACCGAGGTCAGCAGGATCCCTGTGTGCGCGAAAGCGGTATAATATAATATCATTAAAAGAATCCTTTATATTGCAGCCTCCTCCAAATTCTTCATAGCAAGTTGTCATTCTGTGCTTCTCCTCCTCTCCAGGATTTTAAGAACCTGCATAGACAACTAACTACCAGTCAGCTGCAGGCAGAAAAAAAGCAGAAAAAGGCTTGGCCGTATTTTGTCAAAGGCAAGCCTGGCAGTGTGTATTTGGTTTTCATCCATTATACTGAACAACAACTCATGAGTTCAGGCAAAAATGTTCTATTCCTTATGCAGCCACTTTCTCTGGTGGCAGAAATCAATTTTGTATTGGAATGAAGGAGATACTGAAGATGGACTTGACATACACTGAGCTTTATCTATCCCACGGGACAAATCGCTACAAGAGGCTCACGGGCATTTCATAGGCAAAAATAAACAGAAGATACATCTCTGTTGCTCTTGGGAGCCTTGGGCTGGGTGCAGCCTCTCATCTGTGCTGCAGGTTTTCCCCACAACTTGCCTCCCAGCCTGCCTGAGACAGGTCTGACTCCAGGAGATAATTCACATTTGAGCAGTTTCATGGGCAGAGTTCTGTCAACACATGAGCCTCCAACTTCACAAGAACATCTCTTTCAATAAACAGTGCCCCAGATTTCATTCCAAGTCCAGCATAAAGTCAGTGAAAATCAAGGTTTAAAGAGCATGAAATTCATGCTTATCTTAATCATACTCACTAAAACATTTCACATTTTGTTTTCCTTTTGACTAATTATCTAATTAGTATAATTAGTAATTCCCTCCCTCTTCCTTGCTGTTACACTCAGCAGTACAGTTAAAACTTGCCTGCCTGGAAGAAAATGTGAGGGAAGGGAAGAAAGGAATAATAAGTGTCCTTTGGAATATCAGCCTCTAAACCGCAGATAGGGGAGGTCTCCAACTCCTTCCCCCCTTTCTTTTTTCCATGTTTAACAACAATACTCAGTAGCTTAAAAAGCTGCTTGGTGACTGCAAGTGTTCCTCTCTCCATGGCTGACCCCAAAGGCACACACACACAAACACAGCAGCATTTACAGCCACCACTTTGGACAAGAGGCACGTCACTGGACAAGTGCATTCCTTTACCATCCAGACTCTCCAAGTGGCTGATTTACAAGCCTCCCCTGCAGGCTCCATTCCAGCAGTACATCACATTCAGTCCTTATCTGAAGTGCTGCTTTTTTATATAGCTACTTGTAATGGTCCAAGAAAACCTGAAATGGATTTCAGAAAAAAAAATAAATAAAAAAAAATTGCTATATGCACTGCAACTAGAGTCCTGCATCATAAGAGAGTGGCACTGGCCACAAAGTCATCCAGGTGTCTTGAAAGAAACGTGTATTACAATGGAGAGCCAGCAACCATTCCCTGAATGGGACTAACTGCTGCTTTCTACCAAAGCACAGCTCTAATACTTGCTAATAAGAAGCTGGTTACAGAAAATGTAGGAAGTGGTAATACAACTTGTACTCAAAGATGTAAGGGCAGATCCATGAATGGGAGTGCTAGGGATCACTGCAACAAAAAATGTGTAGGTCCTGAGTTTGGGGAGTAAAGCTCCCCTAAATATGTCCAGTACAATAGCTCCTTTAAGGTGAATGGGAAGAAGTAAGTGCCCAGGGATGGCCATCACTGAAGCCAGCAGAGAGGGAAGGAAACATAACTGAGCAGGACAGCCAGGAGAGATCAGATGAAAAACCACTCCACTCCTTGCAGACTTTGCAACCTGCCTGCCGTGCCAGTCACAGTGTAAGACTGTACAACCCACACACAGTTAAAAAAATTGCAACCACCACCCAAACCATGGCCCATGACAAAAAGCAGCAGTACTGTCACCACCTTTTTATGTAAAAGCAGGATCCTACAAGGTCCTTTCAAGGCACTAAAGCACAAAGACGCTGAGCTTGCCAGCTCATAAAGGTCTCAGGCAAAGGAGTGAGATGGCAGGGGCACACATCGTGTGGCTGAAGTCTCATGGCAATAACACAATACAGAGAGACAGGTAAAACTCTAACATTAGGCACTTTATTACAGAAGTAGAGGAGGGAACAAAGTCAGAAAAAAGTATTACAACCACCTGCCAGCTCCTTGAGAAGGAAGTTGGAGGAGGACTGAACACATGTGAGGAGGAGATGGTGGTGCATGTCCACAGTGAAGGGCAGATGTGGTCTTGGTCCACGATTTGCTGCTGGTCATCTCTTCTTGTGTCCAAGCCCATTTCTCCTGCACTAACATTCTCTTGGTCCACAGTTCCTCTTCCAGGCTGCCTGGATATGGTGGAATGAGCTCCCTGTTGGGGTGGGCCTCTCCATCCTCGAATCTGCCATTATCCCAGCAACAGCTGTGGTGACAGCAACACCAGCAGTGAAGAAGACCAGAAGCAGTACCCCATTCCACAGCCAAACTGTGAGATGTCATTCCACCTGTGGTACCACAGCCCACCCAAGCTGTGCTCCTTGTGGCTCCCAGAACCTGCTCTACTCTACAGTGGTGATGCTGGGATGCAGCTTGGCAACACACTTACTTGACCTCATCTTTGTGCTGTTTGCTGGGTCAAGATGCACAGATTGCATAAGGTCACCCACAAGTGAAGGGTTCTTCATAGCAGCAGTTGCAACACTAACATGTTGCATGGCCATGCCCTGGCCAGAAAAGCAGCTTGTTCTGCCTCTGGGGCTGTGGTTGACCAAGGATCTGAGGAGAAAGGGTTGTCTAAGAGCAGTACCATCTTGTCTGGAATCCATTTGTGTTAGTAAGAAAAGGCATCTTCCTGTTGTGGGAGGGAGGCCTGTGGAGAAACAAGTAGCAATGGGAATTGTCTGGAAAATTATTTTGTCTCCTGAGAAAGGGAATTCAGAAATAGCCACTGCTTGGAATTTTCCTGGACAGATATGGTAAATGCTGGATTGTAGATGTCCACTTGAGCCCAGGCATAAATGGGCCATTCCTTTTGGCCTGTTGCTAAAGACACACGTTAGACGTAGGAATGTTGAGGTTCAGTACCACACAACACTTTAAAAAAATCTCTGGGCTTATATTCCAGCTAACCCACACCTATGAAGAGGTCTCAGTGTTGGGATCCCATGAGTTCTGTGGTCCTTTCTTTCCCGTAGGCAGTCACCTGCAAAGGCAGAGATTATAGCTTTGGTATCTGGGTAAGGTTACTGCCCTGGGTCCTCTGGAGCAGCCTCCACTGGACCCTTTTGCTTCCTTCCAAAACACAAAGTTTACCCCAGCTCACCTCCCTGCTGTACCAACATCAATGGCAGAAAGAAGTACTCACCACTTCACTTGCAGAGAAGTTCCTCTGGCCACTGCTGGGCAGTGGTAGGAGTGTGGAGCAACTTCTTCCCATCAGCTGTCAGATGACAAAGCAATCAGCCAAAACTTGGGAAGATCGTGAGCATTGCCTTAGTTTTCACGTAGAACTAGCCAGCCCTTGACATCTCTGCTGCATGAAAAGACTGTTTCCCAGGTTTTGTATTACAGTGGAGTTGGAAGAAAGAGAGGCTGCACATACAAGGTCCTTTTGCAAAAAAAAAAAAAAACACCTGTAATGCTGAATAAGCAAGATATTGGCCAGCAGAGAGAAAAGGTAGTGGAGTGGAAAGACAAACAGGATGAAGCAGGCATGGTGTAAGTTTGTACTGTTGCCCTCTGGAAGCTAAGACAACATATTCAGAGGTAAGTCCAGCTGTCCAAAATGTGCCCCATCAGGCATGGGGGAGACATGACCACCTGGCCTGATGGAATTGAATCACTGCTGGAAGGCAACCAGATAATCTGAGAGATAACTGAGCTTTTACTAGCTAACTTAGAAGGCAGAAGCCTTGAGGTTTAGGTATCTAGGCAACTTGTTAAGACTTTTGTGAATTCAGAGACCTTAGCCTTTCCTGTTTTATGTCTGAAAATTTGGCTCTTATTTCTTAAATTTTTGCTGTATTTCTCTGGAAAATAACAAAACAAAACAAACAAATAAATCATCAAACCATCATTTAGCATTCATATAACACTTCACAAATAATAACCTAGCTTTGCTGCATTTACTAATACTATTTATCCCTTACTCACCTGTATGAGTAGCATTCAA